TGATGAACTTATCCTTGCCGTCTACAATATCACACCTTGCTTGATGAACTAATCAGTGCCTTCTACAACCCCCTACCTTGCATGATGAACTAGTACTTGCTTGATGAACTAATCCTTGCCGTCTGCAATCCCCTACCTTGCATGATGAACTAATCCTTGCAGCCTACAATCCCATACCTTGCATGATGAACTAACCCTTGTGGTCTACAATCCTATACCTTGCATGATGAACGAATCCTTGCAGTCTACAATCCCCTACCTTGCTTGATGAACTAATCCTTGCCGTCTACATTATCCTACCTTGCTTGATAAACTAATCCTTGCCGTCTACAACCCCCTACCTTGCATGATGAACTAATCATCTTGCCATCCCCTACCTTGCTTAATAATGTAATCTTTGCAGTCTACAATCCCCTACCTACAAATGCTCGCCGTGTACTGTCCCCAGCCTCGCTTTATGAACTACTCCTAATCGTCAACATTATCCAGCCTTGCTTCATGAACTTATCCCAGCCGTCTACAGCCCACAAGGCTGCTTTATGAACCAGTCCTTGTCGTCCACAGTCTCCATCCTTGCTCAATTATCTAGTCATTGCCATCTACAGCCAACAAAGTTGCTTGATGAACTAATCCTTGCCGTCTACAATCCCCTACCTTGCTTAATGAACTAATCCTTGCCGTCAACAGTACCCTACCTTGCTTGATAAACTAATCCTTGCCGTCTACAATCCCCTACCTTGCTTGATGAACTAATCCTTGCCGTCTACAACCCCTTACCTTGCTTGATAAATTAATCCTTGCCGTCTACAACCCCCAACCTTGTTTTATGAACCATTCCTTGCCGTCTACAATCCCCTACCTTGCTTGATGAACTAATCCTTGCCGTCTACAATCCTACACCTTTCTTGATGAACTAATCAGTGTGCCGTCTACAACCCCCTACCTTGCATGATGAACTAGTACTTGCTTGATGAAATAATCCTCGCCGTCTACAATCCCCTACCTTGCTTGATTAACTTATCCTTGTCGTCTACAACCCCCTACCTTGCATGATGAACTAGTACTTGCTTGATGAACTTATCCTTGCCGTCTACAATCCCCTACCTTGCTTGATATACTAATTCTTGCCGTCTACAATCCCCTACCTTGCTTGATGAACTAATCCTTGTCGTCTACAATCCCATACCTTGCTTGATGAACTTATCCTTGCCGTCTACAATCCCCTACCTTGCTTGACGAACTAATTCTTGCCGTCTACAATCCCTTACCTTGCTTGATGAACCAATCCTTGCCGTCTACAATCCTATACCTTGCATGATGATCTAACCCTTGCCGTCTACAGAACCCTACCTTGCTTGATGAACTAATACTTGCTTGATGAACTAATCCTTGCCGTCTACAATATCACACCTTGCTTGATGAACTAATCAGTGCCTTCTACAACCCCCTACCTTGCATGATGAACTAGTACTTGCTTGATGAACTAATCCTTGTCTTCTACAACCCCCTTCCTTGCTTGATGAACTAATACTTGCTTGATGAACTAATCCTTGCCGTCTACAATCCCCTACCTTGCATGATGAACTAATCCTTGCAGCCTACAATCCCATAGCTTGCATGATGAACTAATCCTTGTGGTCTACAATCCCCTACCTTGCATGATGAACGAATCCTTGCAGTCTACAATCCCCTACCTTGCTTGATGAACTAATCCTTGCCGTCTACATTATCCTACCTTGCTTGATAAACTAATCCTTGCCGTCTACAACCCCCTACCTTGCATGATGAACTAATCATCTTGCCATCCCCTACCTTGCTTAATAATGTAATCTTTGCAGTCTACAATCCCCTACCTACAAATGCTCGCCGTGTACTGTCCCCAGCCTCGCTTTATGAACTACTCCTAATCGTCAACATTATCCAGCCTTGCTTCATGAACTTATCCCAGCCGTCTACAGCCCACAAGGCTGCTTTATGAACCAGTCCTTGTCGTCCACAGTCTCCATCCTTGCTCAATTATCTAGTCATTGCCATCTACAGCCAACAAAGTTGCTTGATGAACTAATCCTTGCCGTCTACAATCCCCTACCTTGCTTAATGAACTAATCCTTGCCGTCAACAGTACCCTACCTTGCTTGATAAACTAATCCTTGCCGTCTACAATCCCCTACCTTGCTTGATGAACTAATCCTTGCCGTCTACAATCCCCTACCTTGCTTGATAAACTAATCCTTGCCGTCTACAACCCCTTACCTTGCTTGATAAATTAATCCTTGCAGTCTACAACCCCCTACCTTGCTTGATGAACTAATCCTTGCCGTCTACAACCCCCAACCTTGTTTTATGAACCATTCCTTGCCGTCTACAATCCCCTACCTTGCTTGATGAACTAATCCTTGTCGTCTACAATCCCCTACCTTGCTTGATGAACTAATCCTTGCCGTCTACAATCCCATACCTTGCATGATGATCTAGTCCTTGCCATCTACAATCCCCTACCTTGCTTGATGAACTAATCCTTGCCGTCTACAATCCTACACCTTTCTTGATGAACTAATCAGTGTGCCGTCTACAACCCCCTACCTTGCATGATGAACTAGTACTTGCTTGATGAAATAATCCTCGCCGTCTACAATCCCCTACCTTGCTTGATTAACTTATCCTTGTCGTCTACAACCCCCTACCTTGCATGATGAACTAGTACTTGCTTGATGAACTTATCCTTGCCGTCTACAATCCCCTACCTTGCTTGATATACTAATTCTTGCCGTCTACAATCCCCTACCTTGCTTGATGAACTAATCCTCGTCGTCTACAATCCCATACCTTGCTTGATGAACTTATCCTTGCCGTCTACAATCCCCTACCTTGCTTGATGAACTAATTCTTGCCTTCTACAATCCCTTACCTTGCTTGATGAACCAATCCTTGCCGTCTACAATCCTATACCTTGCATGATGATCTAACCCTTGCCGTCTACAGTACCCTACCTTGCTTGATGAACTAATACTTGCTTGATGAACTAATCCTTGCCGTCTACAATATCACACCTTGCTTGATGAACTAATCAGTGCCTTCTACAACCCCCTACCTTGCATGATGAACTAGTACTTGCTTGATGAACTAATCCTTGTCTTCTACAACTCCCTTCCTTGCTTGATGAACTAATACTTGCTTGATGAACTAATCCTTGCCGTCTACAATCCCCTACCTTGCATGATGAACTAATCCTTGCAGCCTACAATCCCATAGCTTGCATGATGAACTAATCCTTGTGGTCTACAATCCCCTACCTTGCATGATGAACGAATCCTTGCAGTCTACAATCCCCTACCTTGCTTGATGAACTAATCCTTGCCGTCTACATTATCCTACCTTGCTTGATAAACTAATCCTTGCCGTCTACAACCCCCTACCTTGCAGGCACTCGTGAAGAGCAACCTCCTCGTGGTGAGTGCTGGGTAGCGCTAATAGCTCTTCCCCCGTGTGGAACCGGGGTAGAATATTTCCACAGCACCCCATTGCTGGTCGTAAGAGGCGACCAAAGTGGGCAGCCCGTTTGCCGTGGGTTGCGTCCCTGTGTCGGCGGAGGACGGGAGTCTGGTAGTTGAGGGCACTGGTTCCTGGAACTGTGTTCCTTTGCCCAACACACTACTTCGACCCTTACTTCGCCTAGACGGGTGGTAAGATGGGCCCGGTCTTATCAATCGGCTGGTCATGCCAGGCCCTGTGCGTAAAATTGTATCTGCACACCTGTGTTGTATTTTCATGTATATTTTGGTCTTGGTCATGTTAAACTTGTATGTACTCACAATTTGTGATGGAATTAATTGCCTAGAGTCTTATGCCAGAAGGCGGTGGCTCATGGGCCAATCTGGTGATGTTGACCTCCGAGTAATGTATGTCTCCAATTTCTTGTCTAGGGCAGAACCAGTCTGACATTGAATTGGTAGATAAATATAGCTATTCGTGTCTTATTTTCTGGAGTATAACAACCCTGTATCCCTGGTGTTTGCATTCTGGATATCCGGTGCAATGTAACACTGTCCTTGTTGACACTCCATGGTGGGTGGGGAGCAGGGTTGCTGAATACTTTTCTTTCACCATGGCTTCTAATCATCCTGGTTCAAAGCGTAGACATATAGAATTAGGCTCATCTGATGAGACAGCTGCAAATATTGATTCTTGGGCTCGTTTCCTTGTGATCGAAGCTAAAGATCATGAACCCATCAAACTGAACCCCTTTGCCATTTCTAAAGCCATTCAAGGATATTGTGGAGAGGTTAAAAACGTGACACAACTTCGCTCTGGCTCCCTTCTTGTTGAATGTGTAAGGAAACAACAATCAATCAATCTGTTATCAATCAGTCAATTTGCCAATATTGAGGTTGTTGTTTCTGAACACAGGACACTCAACTCCTGCCGAGGCATTGTCCGTGACAGGACTCGTTCTTTGTCGGACATGTCTGAACAAGAAATTGCTGAAGAGCTTCAAACTCAGGGAGTATCTGCTGTTAAACGTTTCTCCCGCAAGAAGGACGATTCAACTTTTGAACCAACAAATACGTACTTGTTTACGTTTGCCAGATCTTCTATCCCACAATCAATTAAAGCTGGATACGTCAACATCGGAGTGGAGGTGTATGTCCCCAATCCACTCCGATGCTTTAGATGTCAACATTTTGGCCATGGCTCTAAGTCCTGTAATCGTTCTGTGGTTTGTCAACGCTGTGGCGACAACCATGAGAGTACTGATTGCCAACAAGCCCTCAAATGTGCGAACTGTGATGGCAAACATATGGCTTCCTCCAAATTCTGCCCTATTTGGCAAAATGAATCAAAAATACTAAAGATAAAGTGTGAAAAAAACATTACTTTTGGAGAAGCAAGACAACTGTTCAAGTCTCAATCACCACCTCAGTCGACACTAAATTACTCTGCTGCTGTCTCAAAGCCAGTCCAATCTTCATCTGTCTCGTGTCAGACAGAGTTGACATGGGTCAAATCTGATCGACCCCTGGCGACTGCTCCTGCCATCGAGCATGACAAATCTGATGCACAAACAACAGCACCACCTTCAACTTCTCAGGCAGCGAGTCAGACTCCACCTGAACCAACAACAACTGCAAATGTCAAGCGGTCAAATCGGGAAAGAAAAAAGTTGGGTAAAAAACAATTACCAAGGAATCCCTCTCCTTCAGAGGTACCTCTTCAAAACTCCTATAGTGCTCTGGACATGGAAGTAACACCATCGTCTGAGAATTCTGGTAGGAGTTCTTCCTCCTCACTTTCGCGTGAGAGATCCCCTATTGAACCACCATGATTCATTCGCCAAATATACTTCAATGGAATTGCAGAGGACTAAGAAAGAATTTTAATGACTTACAATTGTTAGTTCAAGATTATAACCCGTCAGCATTATGTCTCCAAGAGACATACCTTAAGCACACTGATACGTTTGATCTCAGGCAGTACAACTGTCATCATTCATTTTCTCCTCCAGGTGATAAAGCGACCGGAGGCTCTACTATTTTAGTCCGACAGAACGTCATTCACAGTCCTGTACATTTAAATACTAATCTTCAAGCTGTAGCTATCCGTATTACTTTGCACATTGCATTTACTTTGTGCTCTTTGTATATCCCACCTTCATCTGCTCTTCGACAGTCTGATCTACAGAATCTATATGATCAGCTCCCTAGGCCCTGCATCATCATGGGCGATTTAAACGGGCATAACCCTCTGTGGGGAAGTGCAAGTACAAACAACACGGGGAGAGTTATTGAAGATTTTGTTTCTGATAATGGTTTATGTCTATTTAATGATGATTCAAACACCTACTTACATCCTGCTACTGGAACCTATTCTGCCCTTGATCTGTCCCTCACAGATTCAAACATTTACAATGAATTTGAATGGTCTGTGCATGACGACCTGTGTGGAAGTGATCACTTCCCTACTGTCTTAAAAACTGTAACATCGGATGATGACCTGACTTCATCACGATGGAATTTTAGCAAGGCCAACTGGTCCTTGTATGAAAATTTATGTGTTGATATATTACAACCTGACAACTTCATACATGTACTTGATCCCATCCAGTTATTTTCGAATCAACTCAATGATATTGCTGACAAAACAATTCCTAAGTCCTCTGCAACTCCTCATCTTCGTAAACCATGGTTTAACTATGATTGCAAACAAGCAAGAAAGTGTAGGAAGAAAGCGGAAAAATATTTTCGCCGACATCCAACAGTTCACAACTTGAATACTGTTAAAATTACTAATGCCAAGGCACGACGTGCTTATAAACAAAATAAGCGTCAATCTTGGAGGAACTATGTCTCAAAACTTAATTCCCGTACACCCATTTCCAAGGTGTGGAACATGGTTCAAAGAATAAAAGGCAAAGGTTCAAAATCTTCTGTACATCATCTAAAAGAAGGTGACAGATTAATAACTGATAAATTAGATATTGCAAATAAACTTGGCGAAACTCTTGCCAAAAATTCTTCATCAACAAATTATGTCCCTGAGTTTCAGAAATATCAGAAACAACAGGAAAAGAAAAAAGTTAATTTTGATTCTACTAATGGTGAAGATTACAATGAAGTATTTTCATTGCATGAGCTACATACCGCTCTTGAGCAAGCTCATGATACTGCAGCGGGTGCTGATAATATCCATTATCAGTTATTGAAGCATTTACCTGAATCATGTCTTGAGACACTTTTAAATATCTTTGACCAAATATGGACTTCAGGGCATTTTCCTCCTTCGTGGCATAATGCCATTGTAGTCCCCATCCCAAAACCTGGCCGGGATCATACAGATCCCTCAAATTATCGCCCTATATCGTTAACCAGTTGTGTTTGCAAAACCATGGAGCGAATGGTGAATAATAGATTAGTTTGGTATCTGGAAACCAATAACCTTCTCACAAATATTCAGTGTGGTTTCCGGAAAAATAGAAGTACTATTGATCATTTAGTACGGTTAGAATCCTTTGTTAAAAATGCTATTGTTAATAAACAACACGTGGTATCCATTTTCTTTGATCTTGAGAAGGCATACGATACTACCTGGAAGCATGGCATTCTGAAGGATTTACATGATTTTGGCTTGAGAGGTCGTTTACCTCATTTTATATCTCAGTTTTTAACAGACAGGCAATTTCAAGTCCGAGTGGGTACAACCCTGTCTGATCATTATAATCAGGATCAGGGTGTCCCACAAGGCAGTATTTTGTCTGTCACTTTATTCAGTATAAAAATTAACAGTTTGTCAAAAGTTTTAAATGATTCAGTTGATGGATCCCTTTTTGTGGATGATTTTAATATGTCTTGTCGTGGTAAAAATATGCACACATTAGAAAGGCAATTACAATTATGTCTCAATAAAATTCACAAGTGGTGTCTAGAGAACGGGTTTAAGTTTTCCAAATCAAAAACTAACTGCATACATTTTTGCAGGAAATATAAACCGCATAAAGATCCTGAGCTTTTTCTAAATGGCACCCCTATCAAAGTTGTGAAGGAGGCCAAGTTCTTAGGACTTATTTTCGATAGCCATTTAACTTTTTTACCACACATTAAATACCTTAAAGCTAAATGCCTGAAGGCACTTGATTTATTGAAAGTCGTTTCTAATTCAAAGTGGGGAGGGGATCAGACAACACTCTTACACTTGTACCGGTCCCTGATCCGTTCAAAACTTGATTACGGCTCCATCGTCTATGGTGGAGCCTGTAAAAGTAATTTAAAAAAACTTGATACTATACATCATCAAGGACTGAGGCTTTGCCTTGGAGCCTTCCGCACTTCTCCTATTCCAAGTCTGTCTGTTGAAGCAGATGAGCCGTCTCTAAAACAACGCCGTTTGAAACTTTCTTTACAATACATCATTAAATTATATTCCAATCGGTCGAATCCAGCTTTTAATTGCGTATTTCATCCACTTTATGAAGATATTTACAATAAGAAAACATCTCTTGTTCCTCCACTAGGAATAAGAATTAAATCAGTCGTTTCTGCTGCGAACATTAACTTTCAGCATATAGCTCCCACACAACTTTTTTCATCGCCTCCTTGGCAAATGGTAAGGCCAGAGGTAGACCTTACATTAACTAGTCTGAAGAAATCTGAAACAAATCCACTAATTTATAAACAAGAATACAATCAATTACGAAACACTTATGACAATTATAAATCTATATTTACCGATGGATCCAAGGATGGTGGCGCAGTTGCTAGTGCCACTGTCGTTGGATCCAGAACAATATCATCAAGATTACCAGATCATAGTTCAATCTTCACTGCTGAAGCACACGCAATTTTAACAGCACTAAAATATATTAACAATCAATCAAAATGTAAAGAATTCATTATTTTTTCCGATTCACTTTCGTGCCTTCAGGCTATTAAAAATATGTCTTGCAAACATCCATTTTTAATTGAAATTCTTGAGTTATTTAATGATCTTGCTACTGGCCAATATGACATCGTCTTTTGTTGGTTACCAAGCCATGTTGGTATCTCTGGTAACACAACGGCCGATGCTGCTGCTAAAGCAGCACTCAACAAATCTGTGACACCACTTCTTGTCCCATACACTGATTATAAACCTGTTATTAGAGCTTACATTCGTGATCTAATGCAGAAGAAGTGGGACACCCAAGTAGGTATAAATAAGTTACATGAAATTAAACCAATTATCGGATATACCTTCTTGGGCTGTCAGTCCAGATTTGAAGAGGTCATTCTGCGACGATGTCGTATTGGCCACAGCAGATATACTCATGAATATTTAATAAAAGGTGAGGATCCTCCGTTTTGCATCCCTTGTGATGAAAGAATCACAGTCAAGCATGTCCTGCTTGACTGCATTGATTTTTCCATCGCAAGGGATAACTATTTCAAAGTTCCATCACTCAAGGATCTTTTTTATCAGATAAGTTCTCATTTAATTCTTGCTTTTTTAAAAGAAATTGATTTAATTCATAAATTTTGAATGTTATGCTTTGTAAATAAATACCTTTTATGATCGGTTGATTAAATCAATAACTGAGATTGTTAGTGGCTATATCCTCAAAGGGGGTTAAAGTAGTGTAAAATTATTGCCCCCCTGAGAGGGTATGTAAGACCACGTCTTTCAAAGTATATTTATATCTTCCACTTTTTAATCGTAGCATATATGTTCTTTTAATGTTTGGCTAAATTATGTCAGTCGTCGCTAACAACTGGAGGGATGATGTAAATCCGACTGGGGTCCATGCAGGTAGCAAAAGTACTGTAAGTCCCCATGGTCCCCAGCGCGGTGATCAACCTTCAGTTGGTGGCGATCTATAGCCCGTTTTTATAATGTGTTGTCAAATGATTACGTTAGTTATCTCTTTTAACATATTCAAACTAGTTTTACGATAATCTGTGATATGCTAGTTTTTATACTGCCCTTCGTCGGCAGAATTGTGTACTACTTAATATATATTGTTAATGTCAATTTTGTTTCGTCACGATATGGCTGAGATATTGCCGATGTGACGTTAAGCTTTAACTCACTCACTCACTCACTCTCTTTATTAGTAAGTCAATCATGTCTCTGTTTCCACAACGTGCTGCCAGCAACACTGGCGTCATGTCATTTCTTTGTGCTCCTTTCTATTTATGTCCAAAATGATTCGTTTGAAAACATACTTCACTATATGTACGTTTCTTCCTCGACAGGAAAGTTGAAGGATATTTTTACCGCCCCTATCCACTTTTGATATATTAGCTCCTACTTCCTTAAGAAAAGAAAACACTTCCATCTTTCCAGACTCTGCTGCAAACATCACCGGCGTTTTCTCGAAATCCCCCATACTTTCAATGTCAATGATGTTCTGTGAGTGGATATACTTCACTATCTCCACGTTTCCCTCTTTACAGGCCACATGTAAGATACTGTTGTCATCATCATCCAATAGAGACAGATCAGCACCTTTCTTCACAAGTAATTCAAGTATCTCTCTGTGTCCTTTCCCTGCAGCTATCATCGCCGGTGTACCATTCTTCACTCTTGTATTGATGTCCACAGTATCTTGCGACAAAATGTACTTGGCTTGAGGCAGGTCTCCAATTGTGCAGGCATCAATGAGCTTGGTGTTGTCAATGGTCTGGTTTTGGGCTTGATTCTCTCCACCTGAAGGACAACATGCAGACATAACGCAATGTTCAGTTTTAGTATTTTTACATGTTTCCAATTAACTTTTAACAATATATGTCGGTAAGTACCTTTGACACAGGCAGCCTTTCCAACACGAGTCTCCAAGCACCTGCTCCCTTGGCAAGTGTTGAATGCACAGACGCCAGCTCGGACCTAAAGACAGACACTGAGGGCTCATTAACTCACTTTCACTTTGTAATTTGTTTTTATCATCATCTGACATAGAGTCAGCGAATGAACTGGGCTTAACGCTGCTTAGAACAGTATTTCAGTCATATGACGCCGTATCGAGCAAGGAAAGCCCGATGCAGATGCAGAAAGCAGATGCGGGCTTTTTAGGTTTAGGACTCGTGAAACCCATTTGCTGACAAACCTGGAAACTCAATGAGGGCAAAACATGTTTTAAACCCACATTTGCTTAAACTATTGACGTTGATATTAAGGTGAAGTTGTAAGTAAAATATTCGTCAGATAGTAGTATGTTCAGTAAGTGAATGACATGTGTAAAGCTGTATCAGCTGATCAACCCATGGAACATGACATACCTGCAAATAAAATGTTTACTGGAACAACTTCTCTTCACTTCTACTTTACTAGTCATTCTAAATTCTGACTAAATTCTAAGTGCATGCGTGTCACCCGGTCGTAAAACCAAGCTCGTCACGGCCTAGTGATCATAGCGCCTTCCAACGTTTCACAAATAACTGTGAAAAACTATTTTATTCTGGGTTATCAGCTTAGGTTAAGTACAATTTTATTGTTAGGTGTGAAGAACTTGTGTTGGTCAAGTACCTGTTTATTCTGGAAGTTAAGTATTTCCTTGTTTCGCTGAAATACTGCCGATGTGACGTTAAATCTTAACTCACTCACTCACTTTATGTAGTATCTTTGGCACTCGTGAAGAGCAACCTCCTCGTGGTGAGTGCTGGGTAATGCTAATAGCTCTTCCCCCGTGTGGAACCGGGGCAGAATATTTCCACAGCCTCCCATTGCTGGTCGTATGAGGCGACTAAAATGGGCAACCTGTTTGCCGTGGGTTGCGTCCCTGTGTCGGCGGAGGACGGGAGTCTGGTAGTTGAGGGCACTGGTTCCTGGAACTGTGTTCCTTTGCCCAACACACTACTTCGACCCTTACTTCGCCTAGACGGGTGGTAAGATGGGCCCGGTCTTATCAATCGGCTGGTCATGCCAGGCCCTGTGCGTAATATTGTATATGCACTCCTGTGTTGTATTATAATGTATATTTTGGACTTGGCCAAGCATACTTTGTATGAATTACCAATTTTTGATGGAATAAATTGCCTAGAGTCTTACGCCAGAAGGCGGTGGCTCATGGGCCAATCTGGTGATGTTGACCTCTATATTCTGTATGTCTCCAGTTTCTTGTCATGGACTGAACCTTCCTGGCACTACATCTGGTAGATAAATATAGCTATTCACGTCATATTCTCTGGAGTATACCATCCCTGTATCCCTGGTGTTTGCATCCTGGATATCCGTTGCAATATAACACCGTCCTTGTTGACACTCGATGGGGGGTGGGGAACAGGGGTGCTGAATCATTTTCTTTTCATCATGGCTCTCCCACAATCTGGTTCATCTCGTAATGAAAAAAAGAGACGTCTGGAGGAAATTGAAATTTCAACTGGAAATCTTTCGCAAACTATTGATTCCTGGGCAAAATTCCTGGTGATTGAGGCTACTGATAACTTACCTATCAAATTGAATCCTTTTGCTGTTTCTAAGGCTGTGTCCGGGATTTGCGGTGAAGTCAAGAACGTCACCCGTCTCCGTAGTGGTTCGCTTCTTGTGGAGTGTGCACGGAGACAGCAATCTCTCAATCTTTTATCTATCTCTACATTTGCCAATCTTGACGTTGCTGTGTCTGTGCACAGAACATTAAATTCTTGTCGAGGCATTGTTCGTGACAGGGCTCGTTGTCTGTCCGACATGTCTGAAGAAGAAATCGCTACGGAGTTGGGAGACCAGGCTGTTACTGCAGTTAAACGTTTTACTTTCAAGAAGGACGGTGTCATCACCAATACAAACACGTATCTAATGACGTTTGCTCGTACAACCCTTCCCCAGTCAATTAAAGCAGGTTACTTCCACATCGGAGTGGATGTGTATGTCCCCAATCCGCTCCGATGCTACAAGTGTCAGCGTTTTGGTCATGGCTCCAAATCCTGTCGAAACTCGGTTGTTTGTCATCGTTGCGGTGTCAACCATGAGAGCACTGACTGCGAAGATGATTTGAAATGTGCTAACTGTTCTGGCCCACATGTTGCTTCATCTAAATCTTGCCCTGTATGGCAAATTGAATCTAAAATAATGAAACTGAAATGTGAAAGGAACATACCCTACCTGGATGCAAAGAAACTATTGAAAGATCAGACCACAACTACTTCAACTATTTCTTACTCCGCTGCAGTCTCACGCCCCGTAACAACATCATCTATTTCGTGTCAGACTGACCTGACATGGGTCAAGTCAGAACAACCTGTTGCTACAATTCCAAATTCCACTATTTCCACACCTATTCCTGCCATCAGTCAATCAAGTTCAGGATCTCAGACTGAGATTCAGTCTGAGACACAATCCCAAACGTCTGGGAAACAACCTGCAAATCTGAAAAAAAAAGAGAAAAAGAAATTGAGTAGAAAACAGCCACCTATTGTCCCTTCACCTTCAGAGGTTCCTTTACAGAACTCCTTTGGGCCTCTGGACATGGAGGTTACTCTGTCCTCACAGGACAGGCGGGGGAGCAGTTCCTCCTCCCATTCACGCGAGCGATCACCAATTGAGCCACCATGACTCAATTGTCTAATATAATGCAATGGAATTGCAGAGGACTTAGGCATAATTTTCATGAACTACAGTTATTAACAAGTGATTTAAATCCATCAGCAATTTGTTTACAAGAGACGTACCTTAAAAATACAGATAAGTTTGATTTAAAGCAATATAGTTCATATCATTCCTTCTCTCCTCCAGGAGATAAAGCTACTGGAGGTGCTTCTATTTTAGTGCGGCGGGGCGTTGTTCACAGTCCTGTTCCGCTTGACTCGACTCTGCAAGCAGTTGCAGTTAGACTAACACTGCATATTGCCTTCACACTTTGCTCCTTATACATTCCTCCTTCTTCAAATCTTCAGCGAAATGATCTACAAAAACTATACGACCAACTCCCAAAGCCCTGTGTCATCATGGGTGATCTAAATGGGCATAATCCTCTATGGGGAAGTTCAACCATTAATCAAAAGGGAAAAGTAATCGAGGATTTTGTTTCCGATAACGATCTTTGCATTTTTAATGATGACTCCGACACTTACTTGCACCCTGCTACTGGTACCTATTCATCTTTAGATCTGTCTTTGACGGATTCAGTTTTGTTAAATGAATTCTCATGGTCCGTCCATGACGACCTATGTGGGAGTGACCATTTCCCCACGGTGCTTAAGCCCATTAATCCCGCTGATGATCCACCTTCACCTCGATGGAATTTTGTGAAGGCTGATTGGCTTTTATTTCAATCTTTATGCAAAGATAAATTACAACCTACGTCTTTTCAGAATGTTATTGACCCCATTCAGTTGTTCTCAGATCAACTGAATGAAATTGCTGATGAATCAATACCAAAGTCCTCTACCAACCCACGTGTTCGTAAACCATGGTTTGATGACACGTGCAAACAAGCTAGGAAATGTCGTAAGAAGGCGGAGAAATACTTCCGTAAACATCCTACTGTCCATAATTTAAACACTGTCAAAATTTCAAATGCTAAGGCAAGACGTCTATTTAAGCAAAATAAACGTCAATCATGGAGGAACTATGTCTCCAAAATAAACACTCGTACCCCTATGTCCAAGGTATGGAACATGATCAAAAAGATCAAAGGCAAGGGATCAAATTCTACAGTAAACCATTTAAAGGATGGTGACACTTTGCTAACGGATAAATCTGCTATTGCCAATAGACTTGGGAAAACTTTATCTCAACATTCGTCTTCATCAAATTACGTTCCCGAATTTCAAAAATATCAGCTTCAACAGGAAAAGAAAAAAGTAAATTTTACATCTGATAATGGTGAAGATTACAATGAGGTATTTTCACTACATGAGCTACATACTGCCTTAGGGCAAGCTCATGATACAGCAGCAGGCGCTGATAATATTCATTATCAGCTACTTAAACACTTGCCAGAATCATGCCTTGAAACTTTGTTGACTATATTCGATGACATTTGGACATCTGGGACGTTTCCAACTTCATGGCATAATGCCATTGTTATACCAATACCCAAACCTGGGCGGGATCATTCTGATCCATCAAATTACCGACCTATCTCACTAACTAGCTGTGTTTGTAAAACTATGGAACGCATGGTAAATAATCGATTAGTGTGGTACTTGGAAACAAATAATCTACTTACCAATATACAATGTGGTTTCCGGAAGAACAGAAGTACTATCGATCATTTAGTGCGTTTGGAATCGTTCATTAAAAATTCCATTGTAAATAGACAACATGCTGTATCGATCTTTTTCGATTTAGAAAAAGCTTACGATACAACATGGAAACATGGTATTTTAAAAGATCTTCATGATTTTGGATTAAGAGGCCGTCTGCCTCATTTTATATCCCAGTTTTTAACAGACAGGCAATTTCAAGTCCGAGTGGGTACAACCCTGTCTGATCATTATAATCAGGATCAGGGTGTCCCACAAGGCAGTATTTTGTCTGTCACTTTATTCAGTATAAAAATTAACAGTTTGTCAAAAGTTTTAAATGATTCAGTTGATGGATCACTTTTTGTGGATGATTTTAATCTATCTTGTCGTGGTAAAAATATGCACACAATTGAAAGGCAATTACAATTATGTCTTAATAAAATTAACAAGTGGTGTCTAGAAAACGGGTTTAAATTTTCCAAATCAAAAACTAATTGCATACATTTCTGCCGAAAATATAAACCG